AGAGATTTAATTTCAACCACCTCCTAGTCTCATTTCATCTCCCCGAGGACTATAACGAGGTATGGATTAAGACCTCCATTCAGGTGTGTGGATGCCCAGCTAGGGTGTTCAAGAATACTTCCGGGATCAACCCAAAGACAGAGACGCCTATTGTCCCCTTGTAGTGCTGCCTTCTCGGCTTCCCACATCACCTCTATGACCGTGATTCCATCACTATGCTGGCTAAGTGTATTGGCCAGCCGATTGCATTGATGCCCCGACAGCCCTTCAGTCGAGGGCTGACGTGGCGTGGTTTTGTGTAGAGATCGACCTCAGGGTTGAGCCAGTCCATGAGATTGAGATTGAGCAGGGTTCGGAGAATTTTTCTCAGCAGGTGATCTATGAGAAGATCCCCGCGTTCTGTATCTCGTGTAGTCATGTGGGGCATATTGCAGCTGATTGCTACATTAGCGGCAATAAGCCACGACCTACTCTGCCACAGCGCAATCGTGCGACTCGACCCGGGCCCTCCAACACCCGGAGGGACCCGAAGTGGAAGGGCAAAAGCCCTATCCATGCGCCCGGGACCCCAAAGGGGTTCAAGGATAAGGGCAAGGCTGTCATTGAAGCCACTACCCAAACTGGGAAGAATTCTCATCCTAACCACCCTGAGCAGTTGGCTACAGTAGGGCCCAAGCCCAAGGCCACGGGCTTTCTTCCCAGAAATACCTTACAGTCGGCCTTCAAGGCCAACCAGTCGTACTTTGTAGTCCTCTCCCCCGAGGAAGTGGATGAGGCTGAGCCTTCCACTAGTGACTCCCCTAGGTTTTTGGATCTTGGTCCTTTAGACGATGATGACCTTCTTATAGATGATTTGGAGCAGCCGGACACCTCGACCAGTGGCACGTCCATCCACTTATCTGATGACAGCACTCGCGATGCTGTTCCTTTGTCTATTCATTCATCTAGCCAGTACCGCTCTCTGGAGATGAGGACAGCTCCCGGCACCGCTCCCCCAATAGGGGAAGAGCTGGCACATCTCTCCTCTACTGAGATTGGGAGCTCGGCTGAGCATATATCTAGTCTCCAGCCACACTCTGTCGGCGAGCACCCGAGTGCTCCGCCGGCTGGAGTCTCTCTTCCTCCCTTCCCTAAGCAGACATGCGGTCTTAACCGTGCTCAGCATGACATCTCGTGCGAGAGTTTTGCCTCTAGTGCTTTCGTCCACTATGACAGAAGGGAGACAGCCTCAGAGATGAGGCAGGTTCCTAGTGATGTTCTGGGTCAGATTGCTCAGCCAGATGATTCGCAGGCTATGAGCAACTACCGAGGGCATCCCCCCTCGAAGACTAGACCCACACCGCGCATGACACGACAGACTGTCTCTCCTGCTCTTTGATCCTTCCACCACCTCCCCCTACTTCAGGTGGCCCTACTCAGCCTCGCCATAGGCGGACCACGTCCGGTGGCTCTTGCGACTGTTTATATTTCTATCACATCCATAACTTGGAATGGCCGAGGCCTGGCTAATAGGGCCACTCTCGCTCATCTTCATTCTCTCATTCGTGATCATAGTCTTGATTTGGTTGGCTTTATTGAGCCGATAATTAGCACCCCTGCTTTTGACTACTACTCACGTCGTCTTGGTTTCCACACGGGCATGGGTAATTAGATCTGGTTCTTCTACTCACGTGAGTATACCTGTTGGGTCCTCCGGGACACCGATCAGGTGCTTCACGTGGAGCTTTCTGCTGCACACCTCCCCGAGCCCATATTCCACACCTTGGTTTATGCCAAGTGTAATAGGGTCTGGCGAAACAATCTCTGGGACACTCTGCGTGAGATTGCTAAGAGTATGGAGGGATTGCCATGGATGGTTAGTGGCGATTTCAACATGTTTCTGCACCCTGATGAGCATGTGGGCGGCCGCTCGGATCAGTCACGGTAGATGTGGGGTTTTTCTCAGGCGGTGGCGAACTGTGAGTTGATTGACGCTGGATGTGATGGAGAGCCCTTCACATGGGTGAGGGAAGATCTCAAAGAGAGGCTCGACCGTGCCTTGGTTTCTGAGGCACGGGCGAAGGTGTTTGCGGTCACGGCCGTCACACACCTCACTCAATTTTGATCTGACCATTCACCCCTCCTCATTAGGTGTCGATTTTTGAGCACCCCCCGCCGCTCTTCTTTTAGGTTCCAGAACATGTGGGTTCGCCACCACTCCTTCCACGACACTTTCAGGGATTTCTGGCTTCAGCCGACTGGGCTCTTTCGGATGCGCAATCTCGAGGCGAAGCTCGGCAGACTGCGGCGTAGGTTGAAACAGTGGAACTGGGATGTTTTTAGAAACCTCCATCAGGGCCTTTCTGCGGCTCAGAGTGCACACGCGGAAGCTGAGCGGGCCTATGACCTGGATCCCATTCCGGAGAATAGGACTGCGATGCGTCGCTGCCATGCCGAGTACCAGCTCTGACTCCTTATGGAGGAGGATTTCTGTAACTAGAAGGCGGTCGTTCACTGGGTAGCCGAGGGCGAGCGGAACACTAGGTTCTTCTAGGGCTTCATTAGGCAGAAGCATGCTAAGTCGTATATCAACAGTATTGAGGATGATGGGTCATCCATGACCCAGGAGTCTCAGATTTGGGAGTCGGCTGTTGCTCACTTCCAGACCCTCTTCACCTCTGACAGAGGGACCCTCGTTGCCTTGACCGCTTCTTTCTTCCCACCATTCCTCCTTCGGTCGATCTTATTGGCCTATGTGAGTTCTCGAGTAGGGAGGAGGTTAGGGATGCTATCTTCATGATTCATCCCAACAGCGTTTCTGGCCCGGATGGTTTCTCATCTCTGCTCTATAAGTTCTGCTGGGATTTAGTCGAGCCTGACGTCGAGGAGGCAAGGTTGGATTTTTTCTTCCGATCACCGGATGCCGGATTCCTTCACGTCTACCTCTGTCGTCTTGATTCCCAAAGGACCCAACCCGAGCTCTTAGTCCGACTATAGGCCCATCAGCCTGTGTAACATGACCAACAAACTCATTTCAAAGATTCTTAATGGCCGCCTTTCCTCACTTCTTCCCTCCCTCATCTCTCCGTACCAGAGTGGATTTGTCAAGGATCAGGTCATTAGTGATAACATACTTTTGGCCCAGGAGATGATCCACGACATCTCCCGCACCGAACATTGCGCTGAAGCTTGACTTGGCTAAAGCGTATGATAGGGTGGAGTTTCCATTTCTTAGGGAGGCGCTGGCTAGGATGGGATTTCCTGAGCGTTGGATCAGTTTTGTGGAGGCGTGTGTGGAACACTGCACGTTCTCGGTCTTGGTTAATGGTAGTCCCCCCGATTTTTTTTCCCTCTTCTAGAGGTCTTAGACAGGGTGACTCCCTTTCCCCATCCATTTTTGTTCTTACGGCGGATTACCTCTCTCGCTGTCTTGACAGCTTCATACGTGACTACCCACGGATGACATACAACACCCGTGGCTATGGTCCTCCCATCTAGCACCTATCTTATGCGGATAACATCATCATCTTCACCCGGGCTGATGATGATGGGCTGGTCGAGCTTATGCACCTTCTGGAGCACTATAGCTCGGTTATCGGCCAACTGATCAGAGTGCAGAAGAGCACCTTCACCCTTCCCTCCTCCAGCCGACAGGTGGGCTCAGCGGGTCCACAAGATTACTGGATTGCGCGGGGCGACCTTCCCATTACTTACCTCGGTGCCCCTTTTTATAAGGGAAACCTCACTAGCGCGCTCTTTGCGGACATCAGGCAGAGGATGATCGATAGGATTTCTAGTTGGTCGCATAGACATCTTTCTTTCGGTGGTCGGCTTGTGCTGATCAAGAGAACCCTTAGCTCCCTTCCGCTGCATTTACTTATGGTCCTCGACCTCCCTAGGTCTACTCTTGATGAGATTGACCAGATTATGACTCGTTATTTCTGGGGTTACGAGGACGGCTCCAGGAGGGAGAGACGCACCCACTGGGTGAGTTGGCACTCTATCTGCCGCCCTTTCTCTGAGGGTGGCCTGGGCATCCGCCGCCTCAGGGATATTGTTATTGTCTTCTCCTACAAGTTGTGGTGGCGCTTCAGGGAGAGAAAGTCGCTTTGGGCTCAGACGTGCCAAACACCCTTGTTGGGTGACGGCAGTTGATCATGATAATAGACTGTGGCGGCACCTCACAAGGGTCAGTAGGCGCGCCCAGGACCAAATATTTTGGGTTTTGGGTGAAGGCGAGGTCAGTTTTTGGGATGAGTGGTGGTTAGGTGATAGGCCGTTGTCTAGGGATAGGCAGGTGACGCATTCCCCCTACCTGCTTGTGAGCGACCTTTGGACGGACGGGTCGTGGGATAGGGGGAAGCTTGATAGAGAGTTGGGCTCTGGGGCGGGTTTTAGGGAGCATTTATTAGATCAGATCCAGCAGATACCCATCTTGGGGGACGGTTCGGATGGCATGAGGTGGAGACTTACATCATCGGGTGTGTTTTCTAATACCTCGACATGGGAGCAGATCAGGCTGAGAGATCGGCCTAATCTCTCTTCGGAGCCATTTGGAGCGATTTTTTCAGCCCTACCATTTCAGTATTCCTTTGGCGCCTCCTCTTACGCCGGATACCCGTGGACACAGTTTTACATGCGAGGGTGATCTCCTTCCCCTCCCGGTGTGTGTGTTGTTCTAAGACTAGACGCCATGAGACCGAGGCCTTTACCCACCTTTTCCTAGAGAGTGAGATTGTGAGGAGAGTGTGGGAGCACATTGCCACTTGGATCCATATATCCCTAACCTCCACAGACAGTTTCTTTGAGCTCCTGAGTTTTTTCTCACATAGCACACACCTTAGACACGTGGGCTCCCTCATTCCTTATCTGATCCTTTGGTTCACCTAGACAGAAAGGAATAGTGCGAAGCATAGGGATATTACTTTTTAGCTTTCTCACATTGTTTTGCAGGTAGAGAGACATCTTTCACTCCTCACAGCATTGGGCAGGATCACTGCCCGAGACTGGACATGCTGCACGCCACCACACCACTACGTGGTGGCTCCTCTTCCACCTGTCCGGCCCCCTCGTCCCAGAGCTGTTGTTTGGCTTCGACCTGATTCCCCTTGGGTCAAGCTGAACACTGATGGTTCTTTTGATCGCCATACTGGAGCTGCCAGAGGAGGAGGCTTGATCCGGGACCACAGTGGAGCACTCATCACCGCCTTCCATACGTCCCTTCAGGCCTCCTCGAGTTATGATGCTGAGATTCAGGGATTACAGATTGGCTTTCAGATTGCTGCCCACCTTTCTAGTCATATTTGGATCGAGCTGGACGCTGCGGCCGTTGCCACTCTCCTGACTTCGTGCCACTAAGGCTCGTGGCAGATTCAACACCCACTTATGCGCATTAGAGCTCTTCTACGATCTGTCCATCACAGGATTACGCACAACTTTCCGTGAGGGGAACAGACCTGCTGACTACCTTGGCAGCCTTGGCGCTACCATACCAGACCTCCATACATTTCAGACTGACACTGCTCCACTCCGCCTTCGCACTCTTGTACGAATGGACCAGCTTGGATACCCATCATTCCGCTTTCAGTAGATTAGATTTTTACTCTCGTTTGATCAGCCATTTATTCCAAGCACCTGTTAGCCCGAAGACGGACCTTGTATTTTTTTCGTTTTCTATTTTTTTTTCTGTTTTGACTGTGAGACTCAGTTGTTTGTAGTTGGTTGATACGTTGGGCCCGTTTTAGGGTCTTGATTTATGTACATGTTGGGGATCCAGCCCAATCCCCTGCTCATCGGAGCGTTGTTGTTAAAAAAATAATAAATAAATAAAATAAAAAATAAAAATAGCAAGACATAACTAACCTAGCTACTACATAAAAGTAACCTAGCAACTGGACATAACTAACCTAGCAACTAAATAGAACTAACTTAGCACCTACAGACCACTAACCTAGCAACTACAGTCAACTAACCTAGCAACTATTAATAACTAACCTAGCAAAGTCCACTAACAATGCATCTAAATACAACTTAACTTGCAACTACAGACAACTAAACTAGCAACTACATACAACGAACCTAGCAACTAGACATAACTAACCTTGAAACTATATAGAACTAACCTAGCATCTACAGATAACTAACCTAGCAACTAAATAGAACTAACCTAGCAACTACAGAAAACAAACCTAGCAACTAAATAGAACTAACCTAGCATCTCCAGACAACTAACTTCGCAAGTAATGTACTACTTAACAATTTCATTTCTTCTGATTTGCTTTCTATCATTAAACATGTACAACATGGTGTTTGTACCATTTACAGGAATTGATAGCCATAAAAAGTGTGTCACATTTGGAGCTGGGTTGATGGTTAAAGAGAATGAAGAATCATACATTTGGTTGTTGGAAAAATTTTTGAAAGCTATGGGAAATGAACCATATTACATAGTTCTGACCAAGATCCTGCTATGAAGAATGCAATTCGGGCGACTTTCAAACAGGCAAGACATCGTTTGTGCATGTGGCATATTATGGAAAAGGTAAATGTAAAGGTTGGTCCAACATTAGCCAAGAATAATAACTTCATCAAAAGGCTAAATGATATTGTGTGGAATTTGAAGAAAAATGGGGAAAATTGATGGATGATTTTGCCTTATCCGAGAATCAGTGGCTTAAAACCCTATTTCAGATTAGAAAATCATGGATACCAGCATACTTTAAGGATGTCAAAATGGGTGGCACACTAAAAACTTCTAGATCTGAAAGTGTTAATAGTTGCTTAAGAAGTTACATATCTCCTCAAGCAAACTTAGTTGAGTTCTTTTATGCATTTTGAAAGTGCAATGGATGCACAAAGGCATGTTATAGGAAAGCTCAATCATGAATCTGTGACTGCACCTCCTGACTGCAAGACGCCGTTACAAATTGAAAAACATGCTGCAAAAGTTTACACAAAAACGGTATTTTCAGAGGTGCAAATGGAGATTGAAACAACATGTTTCAGATGTGTGTCTGTGCATATTGAAAAGGAGCATGAAAACACCAAATATAAGGTTGTAGAAGTTGGACAAGATGGTGTTGACTTCATTATTAATAAATGTGGTGATTCTGTAGATTGCAGCTGCAAAAAGTTTCAACAGTTTGGATTGTTATGTCGTCACACAATGATGCTAATCAAGGACTTAGAAAGAATACCAGAGAAATACCTCCTCAACCGTTGGTTTAAATTTGCTTCTTCTGGACATGAGATTGATAATGCAAGATTAAATGCACTTAATGGCAAAAATCAGAGAAATGCATATTTAAACAATCTATGGTCTGATTTTCATTGTTGTATAACTCTTGCTGAAGGTAGCAAAGACAAATTGGAACGATTATCCAGGATTATAAATGAAGAAAAGAACCAGTTGTTGGGTGCACAACAAGTTTCCAATTCAATCCTGAGTAAAGAAGCTGTAATACAAGAATTATGTGGTTTAGTTTCGAATCTTGATGTTGATACCTACCACCAAAGCAAACAAAAACAAGAGGAGTGGAAGCAACACAAAAATCTGATTGCTGTCACAATAAGAAAAATCTACCAAAGAAAGTCAAAAGCTGAAAAGACGTTGTGGAAAATGTGGAGAAGTGGGCAATCATAATAGTAGAACTTGTAATAAGACTAACGATATTTCTGATTGTAATAAATAGTTTATTCGATGTGGTGTTAAAAACTAACCTAGCAACATCAGACGACTATCCTATCAACTAGACATAACTAACCTAGCAACTACAGACAACAAACCTAACCTAGCAACTACAGACAACAAACCTTGCAACTGGATTGAACTGACCTAGCAACTACATTGAACTAACCTAGCAACAACAGACAACTAACCTAGCAACATCAGATAACTAACCTAGCAACTACTTAGAACTAACCTAGCAACTACTTAGGAAAAAAACTAAGCAAAATGCTCTTCCATCACTCTATGTTTCTCTCTCTATCCTCTCCACCTTCTCCGACCGCCTGACATGTTGCCGTCCGCTCCTCCACCGCCTAACCTCACCGCACCGACTCCTCCACCAGTCAACTCCCCGCCTCTGTCCAGTACCTCGCCGATAGATGTCTCTCAATTTCTTTCGCACCCAGAAATCGGTAAAGCCCTCCTGGCTTTTTTGGATAGCAGATTTACGAGTTCAATCGAAGGGTTTTCTTCAATCCTACACCTCCCGTCCATGGTTTCTGGCCCACTTGCAGAAACAACCCCCACTGGTGATTTTCCCCCAGCGACAGCTATTACAGTTTCTGCCTCTTTGATTGGGAAGACGAACCCAATATATCTCTTGCACCTAGTTAATTCAAAAACAGAAGGTCAGTTAAGTCAAAAATCAAATGGTCACCGACATGAGCGGATTGATCTCAGAGAATCGCGTTGGATGTCTGCCTGAGATTTCCAGTTCGGAGTCGCTCCTCCCGCCGGCAAAGCTCACGCCGCTTACCTCCGCCTTGTCATCTGCTGGCGGCGTCCCCAACCCTCAGCTCAAAAGACACGTGGACGGTGGAGCTATTGTCCTTCCGCTCCCAGGACACGTGGTCGATCACGATCACATGTCAGTTTTCTCTCATGTTCGGCCTTCTTCCCAGGCCATTATCAACTACCCTCAGCCCATTATCCATAATCCTAATCCCACCCCAGCATGTGGGCCTCTTGGGCCATCCTCCTCTCAGTCCATAATCCCCCTTCAAACTACAACCAGCCCGCGAACCACCTTCTTTACCTCTCAACCTACCTTGCACAACCAGATATCTTGGCCCAGCATTTCTTTTGGCCATAATAATCTTGGACCCACATCTGGGGTCACTAAAGGCCTTCTAAACCAACCCCAGCCCATTATTTCCGATCCAAATTTGCAGCCCAGTTCCAACCCCCAGCCCGTCTCCTTCAACCGACACACCACGGTCTTTATAATGAGCCCAACCACCAACAGCCAGCCGGTTCAACCTCATCCGCTTGCTCCGACGCCGGCTCCGACGTTGTCTCTGCCACCGGAAAACCTAAGCCGGCAAATTCCAATACTGCCTCGGCATTAGTTACTTCTTTTGGAAATATTGGACCTAACCCAGCTCCCCAGACCGAACAGTTACCAGGAGCACCAACCATTAATACTGGAGCCTCTGAGCCTACCATTCTTTACGTTCGAGAAGATGGCGCGGTGGTCACGACAGGGACACGACCGGCAGGCACATCCACAGCCAATCACAACACAGCCGGGACCCCCACGACCACACCCAAGAGCCCACTCTCCTTCCGGGACGCTATTACGGGAAGAAGAGACGGCAGTTCGAATGGTCCACGTCCAGCACTAAAAGAATTCATACTTGACGGTGATTATGCGAACGCTTGCGGGACCATCATACGCTCGGAGGCTAACAGAGTGAAGGTCCGATTCTCACAGGCCGAAGCTGTCACCCTCGCAGGTAAGTTATGTTAGAGGTATGCTGTAAAAGCTATGTTTTGCAGATTCTATCAATTCCATTTTGATCTGGCAATCATGTTTCGGTCAAAGTACATATATTTGCAGTTTATTTATTTATGC